TTGCTATTTGACTCTCTCTGTTATCAAGTTTGTAGTGATTCTTTGTGACCCTCTCTGTTTTTATAGTCGCATTTTCTGCTTTACTTCTTCAACTACCCCACGCGTTTAAGAAACGATGTTACCAGTTTTGGTCTTGCTTTTCTTGTTTCGTGTCATTATCTTACACTACTAATATTCTCTTCAATCGAGTAATTATGAGTCATGTGCATCAGAAATATGTGTACTTCCTAAAAAGGTATAAAAGTGGTTTCTCTGGCACACAAGTTTAAGACTTGAACTTTAACCAAAAAAGAAAAAAAAANAAAGTTTAAGACTTGAATCCAACGATTGTTTTGATCTTAGCTTTGGTAATCAGATTCTAGTGGCTTTGGTGAAACGTAGGTAGAGAGAAAGAGACGAGTAATCGGCAAGTGTTCTTGCTCGATTTGAACTTGAGAGGTACAAAAGGTTCATTGGGGCTTTTATATTTGGTCTCTAAACATACGATCGAGTTTCATGGGTTGATTTCTTGAAGACTATAACAAGAGCTACAAATTGTTTGCATTCATTCTCAAATTGAATCGAATAGATGGAAAATATAAAAAATGAACTTTTAAGTCGACATAAAGATTGAGTACACCAATGTTATTTATTTATTATAAGCATCATATAGTATATTGTTCTTAGGCTAGAGGTTTCCCTGCATCGACTAAGGCTAATTAAGATCTAATACAACTTCAACATGGTCACTTATGTCAGATGTGGAATGTTCATTGCAACAACAGACTAGTCGTAGTCGATGTTGAAAGCAAAGTCGTGGCCTTGCCATCATTCGCCATTCTCCAAATACCTCTCACAGAAATTTACTTAAGAAACGATTTTACCAGTTTTGGTCTAGCTTTTCTTGTTTCATGTCATTATCTTACTCGACTAATATTCTCCTTTTGACATTTTACAACCACTCATCAATCAACACCCCCATATATAACTAATTACACAGAGAGATCAAGATTTAACCCAACCTTCTTTTTGGGTAAAAGAATATTTAACCCAACTTCTTTTATATATATATACTACATTTTTTTATAAAGAACTTGGTATCACAATTGTAATACATATCACATCACATGCATACATATCGTTGCTATGGTTTTGGACACATACATCCTTCTACTTTGGTATGGTTTCAGAGTCTTGTAACGTTACTTCTTTAGAGGAGGGTTTCACCACCAATGCTCTTGTACTCACTGCTTTAGCATCTTCTTTTTCTCTCTGAATCTAACAAAACAGAGTGATTAATGTATAGTGAGGATCATAATTAAAAAGTGTAGCTCAGTATTTTTTTTTTAATTCTCTTACATTCTCTGTTAGCTTCAGCTGGATCATAGATAAACCTCTCAGCCATCTCCTTCAATGTTGGTGGTACTTGTTGTTTTCTTGTAATCACCAATGATCTTATTAAAAAAAAAATTTCATACGTAACTCCTGCATAAATAAATTACCAAAAAGATCGAAAGTTTTGAGATTTTTTTTGTTCGTCTGAAAAAAAAGTAAAAGAGAATACTCTGATCTTTGTTGTACAACTTGGGAAGATCACGATCGAGTCCGACGATAGAAGAAAGGGTATGGACACAGTGATTGATTATTCATCTCTGTGAGTTGTGACCTCTCTGTTTTTGTACTTGCATTTTTCTGCTCTGCTTTCTCTCTACTTCTTCAAATGTCCCACGCGCTTAAGAAACGATTTTTACCAGTTTTGGTCTTGCTTTTGGTGTTTCGTCGTGTAATTATTTTCCTCTACTAATATTCTCTTGATTGAGTAATTATGAGTCATGTGCGTGTTAAACACTTTAGAAATATGTGTATTTTCTAAAAATGTACAAAAGTGGTTTCTAATGGTACACAAGTTTAAGACTCTTAATCCAATGATTGTTTTGATCTTAGCTTTGGTAATCAGAGTATAGTGGCTTTGGTGAGACGTAGGTAGGGAGAAAGAGAGCTTAAACGAGTTACAATAAAGCCGAGAGATCGATCCTACATACACAGTATCACAAATTTTGGTTTCAAGTAATAAAGTTTTGGCTTTAAACTGTACACTAAAAAAAATACAACAAAAAACCGATTATTGATTCTCTGCTAGTATTAGACTACGTGATCACCTCACCTCATCCCCGTCGGAACGCAGCGAAGGGTTGTGCCATATCAGCAGCGAGGGGTTGTGCCA